TATCAAAGTAAATTTTGATAAGTGATATTTTGATCATTGATAAAAATGAGAATAATTATTTTATGCTACTCATTATCCAATTACAGACAACAATTATCATTAACAGATTTTCAAGGTGAGAAATGATATCCCTTTGTTGACTTTTGTAATCTTTCTGTAGTTGCATAACCTCCCTTTCACTAAGACAGCTGGAATAAATATTTGTTGCATATGTTATGCATACTTAGTACATTTTCTATTATTGTGCAGGTAATTATACAAAATTGATGAAAGGAAATTGAAATGCAGCAGTTCCTTAAGATATCAGGTGTATTATAAAATAATAAGAACCACAATGTGCCCATTGGTTAGAAAAGATAAAAGTACATTACCAGGATATGTGCTGACAGCTTTCCTCAAATGTTTTTCCATATCAGTCAGTGACACTGAGGCACCAAACTTGATTCCTTTCTCCAGGATCTTGACTTCTCTGAGTTCTCTGACAAAAGCAGGACTCACTAAAGTTGTGTAGTGTCTTTGTCTAAACTTTGTTTCGATTCCTAAAACATAAAAAAAAAAAAGATGCCGACTTTCTAACCACAAATCTTACCTTAAAACAACATAACATACAATATCATTTACTGTGGCTCAGTACTTTTATATGAGAGCTCATATTCATTACCAAATTTTTAAAGAATGTATATAGTTGTACACTTAATAGACTTTAAATGTTCAACAATAGAACTAAAAATCAGTATTATTTCAATGTAATACTTGACTACAAGAAGAGCTAACGATTTCATAACTTTTAAAAATAAATAGAAAACTATAGCTGGTATAAAACAAGACACAATGGCAATGTCTTCGATTCCAAAGATTGAGGATGAGTGCAGTGTTTCACATGACTATGCAAACTCAGTTGCAACCTGCATATTTTCTGCATCTCGTGCAGATAAAGCCATTGTCCGCAGGCGGTCTATTTAAATTTTCTTTCAGTCTTTTGTGCCTTTCCTCAATAAGAGCTTTTCTTTGGGTCTCAAATGTTTCCCACAGCTTTTGTGAGAGCTCTCCAACTGTCTCTTTCAGAGGCCATCTACTGCCAGCTACTTTCCTCTTTGCCAGTGAGGGTAAAATGGCTCCTGAGTTGATTTTTAGAGCACTTATGTGGGTACCTATGGGATGACGCACCCCTTTAAGCTTGCCTAAGAAGACCACCTTTGGCATGGGGTAATTATTAACATTATAAATTTTATGTACCATTTCATATAAATTAACATTTAAATTTTAAAATAGTTTCTCCATTAAATAATGATCAATCTTTTATTTCAGTAACAAAATGAAAGACATTTCCTCCAGGATAATTAAAATATTATTAAAATAGTATTATTATTAAAACTGAATATTAAAAAAAAAGTTAACATCTCAAAGAAACATCCACTAACCTATTTCTGTGTTGCCAGTTACCAGCCTACAATCTGGATATCTGTTTTTTATTTCAAGAAGCTGTGCCAGGGTTGTAGGGCGGAGCCAGGTACAGCGGTCTGATTCAAATCGGAGATTCTCACTAATCAGTTTTGCTGACATTAGCTTTGAGTTCAGAAAGAAAATGTTGAAAAAGAAAAAGTATCAAAGTAAATGGATAAGTTGCCATGTTGTTGTTGTTTTTTTTTGCGTTTAAAGAAGCTGTCTGGACTTTACTCTCACGCAAGGCTAAGTACGAATATTTCCAAATAACCAAGAATAATCAAGCTATCTTGATTAAAAAAGAAAAAGTATCAAAGTAAAAAATTGATAAGTTGCCATGTTTTTTTTTTGTGTGTTTAAAGAAGCTGTCTGGACTTTACTCTCACACAGGGCTAAGTAAGAGTATTTCCAAATAGCCAAGAATTGTCAAGCTATCTACTTCAACAAGTTGAGTCTAAAAAAGCTTGTACTGATTTTTTAAAAATTCAATACAATGAAAGACTGCTTTTTTATAACTATTTTTTGTTTAATCTTAAGAATAGAAACAAAAAAAATAATTAATATTTTATTAAACTATTAAAGGTTACATGGGGTTTCATCCATAAAATAAATAACAAATGGGATTCCCCAAACTATTACTACTACTGTCACTTTAAATAATACAGGATTATTTAATAATAGAAATACATTAAATACAATTTTGAAAAATTACATTAAAAAAACCTTCTAGTACCTTTAACTCTGGTGGGAAGATCGGTTCTTGGCTCGGGTCATAGAATACAGGCTCAGAGAGTTCACATAGTTCCTAGAAATAAAAAAAACAAAAGGATAATGATGGCTCTCCAGTTGAGTGGTAAGCATTTCAGACCAAACTATCAACACAAAGGTTACAGGTTCAAATCCTACCCCTCTTGTCTTTTTCATAAGGTTTAATAACCTTTGTTCTGAAAACAATATATGAAACTTGACAAAACAAGACAAAACAGTTTTAGAAACTCAAATTGTTCCTAGAAATGGTCACCATTATTATTACATTTGATACTCCTATTTGTCATTCACTATGTATGGTCATGAGTGAAACCTAGTGATTTTTATCAGTACTTTTACTGCAATGGTTATGGCTTAAGTCATTAAAGTAGTTTAGAAGTTCCCCTTTCAGAACTTTAGATCTATAGGGTAGATGATGTTAAGGTCATCTGTTTCTGTGGCCCACAGTTAATGAGAGTGTCATGTGGCCAATACAATCAACCATTTTTACTTTTTTTCAACTATTGGTAGTTACCCATTAAAACTGGGTGGACTCAGAGGCGCTCTTAAGATCCTGAAATAAAAAATCCCAGTCTTCACTAAGATTTGAACATGGAACCCTCAGTTTGGAAGCCAAATTCTTTACCACTCAGCTACCATGCCTCTATTGAGTGATTATTCTCAAAATATTTGTAAAGATTGTCATTATAACGAAAGACATGGGGTTCACCTATGTAACTTGAAATCTGTTTCTTTCAATAGAAACACATTGGATTTACCATTGTTCACAAAGGTAGGTTGTATTTCCTTTTCTTTTTCTAACCCTGAAGGTTTAAAGACACAAACAACAAATTAAAAAAAAAACTAAAACAGAAACTGAAATAAGCAGTTGAATTCTCACTTTCATTGTTCATTGCCCAATCTATGTAAAGACTATCAAATTATTTACTTTTACTTTTTGCCAACTAGTAGCAGGTATCCATTAAAACTGGGTGGACTTAGAGTTGCTCTTAAGATCCTGAAATAAAAAATGCCAGCCTTCACTATGATTTGAACATGGAAACCCCATACCCCCTGGTTGTCCAGTATGCGCGATTAACTGTCATTTGGATTTGTCGATGGTTCCGGATTCATACCCTGCCCGCTGCCTTCCCCCATCATCCTGCGGGAGGTTTGGACTAGCAATTAAATTATCTTCAACTCTGAAGGAGCATCCAAAACATGTGAAACATTTTACAAACATTTTAGTTACTTTATAACAAATTCTTACATCTTCTGAGTTCAAAGAATCTTCTGCACTTGGATCATCAGGTGCACCATTTTCCGAAGCACAACCATTTGTCACTGGTTTGCTCTGATTCTTACAACATTTTTCTCCCATAGGACAATCACTGTATCGCTGTCATGAAAAACAAGCAAAATATAAAAACACTTAAAAAAACAAAAACAAAGCTTATCTAAGGGAAAGCATTCCACACTTACAACTATATCGATCAATAATGTAGAAGTTATTTCCTTTATTTCATAAAATGTGTTAGTGATATGCAAAGTTTGGTTACATCTGAATGTAGTGAAAAAAACAATATATCACTGTTAAAGTTACCTTAATAAATGGATAAAAACTTTCAAGTATAGGACGATACCCAGTACACCTGCACAAGTTTCCTGAAAAAAAAAAGTACATCATTCAGTTCTAAGCACTTAGTGTTGTTATATGTTAAATAATTTTTTGAATATAATCAATTCCTGTTACTTTTTTTTAAACCTGTGTAACACTTAATGTCCCAGAAGAAACTTTATCGCTCTTTTCCTAGGACATCATCTTGCTGAAGAAACCAAATCTAAAGACACATTCTAATCAGAGTATTAAGGCTGCTCAATTTTTTTGCCTGGATTCCTTTTTATACAAGCCCTTCAAGTGTGTCTGTTTTATGACATGTTACCTATTAATATCAATGTGGAAGTGCTTCATTCACATGTTCATATATTCCTTCAACAATCAGAAGGCCTCTTGCACTCCAGTAAGTCACATGTGGTATTCAATTATGTGGCTTACATACAATATATCATAATATTCTTGAGCAAAAATCTACTAAACATGTTAAATATAAAAATATTTCAATGTTTGCAAAGTTATGCACTTATTTTAGTAGGTTTGATGTATAGAGAGATAAAGGATCACTTTTAGTTATTTTTTCAATATGAAAAGAGTATTTTTTTCCTAGTAGAAAATATAACCTTCTAAATAATGCAGAAGATGCACTGTGGCTGAATTGTAAAGTGCTTGGCTTTTGAACTGAGGGGTCCTGGTTTCAAATCCTGGTGAGGATTAGAATTTTTAACTTCAGGGTCTTTAGGATGCCTCTGAGTCATTGTATAGGTACCTGACATTAGTTGGGGAAAAGTAAAGGCGGTTGGACTTAGTGCTAGCCACAAGACATCCTATTTAACCATGGGTCACAGAAATAGATGACCTTAACACCATCTGCCTTATACATCATAATGTCTGAAAGGGGAACATAACTATCTTCTTCTTTGAAGGAATGTAGGTGATTGAAGATAAAACTTCATGACCAAAAATATTAAATGATGGCTGCCTTGTTGTGTGATTATCATTCCAGACTGTCACCACAATTATACTGATTTGAAATCCTGCTTGATACCATCTCCTGCTTGCTACCATCTCCTGCCATTTTGCAAGGGACATAATAATCTTTATTTCTGAAGGAACATCAAAAACTTATAAACAAAACAAACACTTATTCTGTGTTCTCATTTTTCAAACAATAAAATAAGATTACGATCAAATATTAATTGCTTTTGAATTTATTACCAAAAAAAAATAGATGCAGTGAATGAAACAAAACATTAAATACAGCTTTCTTTATTTTTATTTAAAACACAGTGACAGTGATAGTAAATATAATTATACAAATTATAGTCAGGTAGATAGTAATGAAAATGGAATACAGTTCAATCTTGTTATTCAAACCAAACAGAGATTCAATCTTTTTCATCAGCTACTCAGATTAACCGCATTGGAAACTATAATAGGATTTATTTCAGCAGTTTAGGATTCAGTCTGAGTAAGCATCTGGTAAATTGGTTCAATTGACCAGACTCGGCTGTATTGTTTTAAAAAGTGCACATAACACATGACCAGGCAGCCATCCTGGTATTATATAAGAATTTAATCAATATTTATTATATATCTTAATTTACCATCCATCGCATCATAGAGCTGCTCTGTTGTGGGGTGGGGATTGTTTCTGAGTAATGCATACATTGACATAATAATTCCTGGAGTGCAAAAGCCACACTGAGACCCATGATTCTCAGCAATCTGACGCTGTAGAAAACAAGAAAAAGTCTACTATAAATTTGGTGGCATTTTATTCAAATCAAGTGTGCTCTCTTATGACAAAAAATTATTTTATTTCAATTCAATTGTATTTTTTATTATTGCAGTCTACACATGATAATAGGGTTACTCCTCACAACATACTGTGATTCTTGACAATGAAAGACAAAATTGCATCACTAATACACTATATAGCCTATATGGCTTATAGAGAAACTCATAAGATAATAGATCTATTTGGCCTGATATTGCTCTATTTAAACTCTATTTACTCTATAGACTATAGTATAGGTTAAAAAAAACTAATATCACGTTTAACAAAAAATGCCCCCACCCCCGGTTCTTCTTATCGTCTGCTTTTCTATGAAATAATGTCTCTGTTGACGTCATCAGTGTTATGGAATCATTCGTCAAGATCTTACTTCTTAAGAAACCGAAACCCTTCCCACCGCAACTTCACATTCACCCCTGTTTTTACGTCTGGTTTGTGCATTAGTTCTAGCATTTCCGCCAGTAACCGAAATCATGTGACCCTATCAACACGCGAATAGAGTGGATCTACTTTCTTTGGCGAAAATAAAAGTGTGCTATAGGAGAAGAAGGAAAGAATGAATACTTTTAAAGCAGCGGTTCTCAACCTTTTAAGCTCGGCGACGCCTTTTTACAATCCCCCACTCTACCGCGACCCCCCTCTCATACACAAAAACAGAATTGTTGGGTAGACAATAACAATCCATATTTTCGATGGTCTTAGACGACCCCTGGCAAATGGTCAATCGACCCCCAAAGAGGTCGCGACCCACAGGTTGAGAACCCCTGTTTTAAAGGATTTGTAGGCCTAATAAGATAGCAAGGCAGCATGTGAGTAAATGGGCGCATAGGAAGACAATTTGTTATTTAATTTGGCTAGGTATGCAAATCAGCAGGCCGATGTGAATTTTGGTCTCAAGATGGAATCCGAAGTAGACAGGTGTATACTTTACACAGGGCTTATTTTTTAACCACTACATTACAGATAACTACGCTCTGCTGGAGGCCGGTGTGGACAGTATAGAAGCTTTAATACCTTTCAACAGTAGCGCTGGGTTGGACACTTATCCCGAATGGGAGACGACCGCATTTCTAAGGCGGTCTTCTTTGTGGAGCTAAAAAAATGACCGCGTAACTAAGGTACCTCCGTAAGCGCTATAAAGATCAACTCAGGCGCCATTTCGCCCTCACAGACATAGGGGAAATTAAGTAGCTGGCAAATATGGCAGCAGATGGCCTCTGAAAGAAACAGTTGGAGAGCTCTCACAAAAGCTGCGAAACAAACATTTGAGACCCAATGTAAAATCCTTATTGAAAACAGGCGCAGAAGACGAAAAGAACACTTAAATAGACCGTCGGCGGACAACGGCTTTGTCTGCACGATATGCGGAAAAAATATGCAGGTCGCAACTGGACTTGTGTAGTCATGTGAAACACTGCACTCATCTTTAATCTTCGGAATCGAAGGCATTGCCAGTATTATTATTATTGATATGACCTTTTACCCAAATACCTAAAGGAATACATTGAAATCTTCCTAGAGAGCGCACCACTAGTTTCAAGGTAGAATATATATATATATTGTTACAACATTTAAAGGAGGCAACTCAACGAGGTATGGGAACAAAGACAATACAAAGTTGAATCAACATAGATCACCAAAACAAGGCCCGGTCCAATCTTGTCGCACTTCCTCTTCCTCTCTCATCGTTCATTTAGTCCATCTTCGTGCGCTGGTGCGCAAACATAGAGTCACTACAGAACATGGTCATTACAATATATATATATATATATATATATAAATACAGACACACAAACATACATACATATACAAACTTATGCGAGAAAGAGAGAGAGGCCTGTTTGCTCAGAGGCATAAATCTTAGAAATCCAAAACTTACTCTAGCCCATTTAGATCAAGACCTACCTGGAGTGGGTGTAGTTTTGTCCTGACACTGCCGAGGCCTTCAATCGTCGTGACAGCTATACCGTGAACAGCACAAAGCGGAGCCAGGCATGCATTCACAGCATAATGTATGGACTTAGTCAAAGAATGGACTAACAAAGCCTTTGAAAGAGGTCTAATTCATTGAATGGACTAACAAAGCCTTTGAAAGAGGTCTAATTCATTGAATGGACTAAAAGTCTTTTGAAGAATTTCTTTCGTTTTAACAAGTTTTACACTTAGGCTAATTTTTTTTTTAAATGTCCTCAGCCACTATTATTATTAAGGTTAATTTAAGCTGAGCATATCAATGTTACGTGGTTCGCGGTTCGAATCCTATTCACCTTAAACCTCAGCCGTCTAAAAGGAGGCTTGTATATATTGTTATGACTCTTCCGCCATGTCAAATCCAAACAATGAAGTAAAAAGGAGGTAATATTTACCAACCCAGTAAACACCATGGTGAAAGGCCGAAACAATCAAATTAGGTAGTCCACACGAGTGTTAACAAAATAAACACTTTTAATACTGAAAAAGGGAGTTCCGTCCAATGTCCTTCGTTATTAGCGGCCGTCTGTATCTTCAAAAGACCTGGTGTTTGTAGTGTCGAATAGAGCGTTCTTGTTTTTTTAAAGATCTGTCCCGTCACTTTTCGCTAAGTAAAACTTTCCCCTTATTCCCGAAACAACCGTGCGGTGTTGATTCTTTGAAATATAACTACGTCTGACTGGAAGTAACACTGAACTCAAACTACTTCAATAACACCGGCGAAAGGCCGAAACAATCAAGATATGTAGTCGACGCTGATGTCGGTCAACAAATATGTTTAATGATTACGAAGGGAATTGTCCGATGTCAGCTATGTCCGTAAACTACTTCTTATTCTTACTGTGATAGGAAAAACGTCTTGTCTCTATCAAACCCTAGAGCGTTCTTGTTTTTTATATATCTGTCACGTCAGTTCTCTTATAGGTAGATAGATAGATACTGAATTATACATTGCCCTCAGATATGAGGCCTACATATTTCTAATGACCTAATCGGTTTTATTTAATAAGACATGTAAAAAAGGATACTTGATTATGTCCAATGTTGTATCATATCTTGAAAACATCACTGTACACGCGCCGCAACCACCCTCGCCACATGCTCCTTTCGTTCCTGTCATATGGACTCTCCAGTGTAAGGAAATTATGTATTATGACACAAAGAACTTAAATTTTCAAAATAAAAAAAAACCGTTAAAAAAAGCTTATCTAAGAAGAAGAACTCCTCTTATACATCCATATATCTAAATACTGTAATATTTATTTCCCCTTTTCGATGTTATGCGGGTATACCGTGTACCACTATCTGCTTGACTAATTCGTTAATATTTTTTTTATTGATTCATGTTTGGTTTTGGAACAATGAATAATTTATGCCAAGTTTCAACTTGATTCGAGAATGGGCAATGGGAGAAAGAGCGTGTGCAAAATGTGTACCAGTGAAACAGACACACTGACATACGGATAGATAGACAGAGTTGATATAAGCTTTATAACTAGATACTATGTGATTTAGTAAAAAAAAAAAGGGCTGACAAAGAGGTCTAATTCTTTGAATGAAATAAAAGATTTTTTAATAATTTCTTTTGTTTTAATAAGTTAAACTTCTTATCTTATATAATACAGACGTTACTTCAAAAAAGAAGATGATTACGTCCTACGCGTCATGCATTTAGTCATGCATATTAACCAATGACCTAAATTCTGCCAAGTCACTGGTTTTCCTGGTTAGCTCAGGTAACCCATTCCACGCTCTAATAGCACTAGGGAAGAAGGAGTATTTGTACACATTTGTCCTAGCATATGGAATGAAATTGGTATATGTATCTTTGTGTCTTTCTGAGTATTTTATTGAATTTTGTTTTTGTATTTGAAGATTATGGTTTAGTGTTTTATGAATAATTGCTAGTTTAGTTTTAAGTCTTCTATCCTGAAGGCTTTCTATATTTAGTGATTTTACTAAAGGTGTTGCTCTAGTCAGTTTGACTTATTAAAGAATGTTCTCGGCAATGTCGATTACTGAGGTTAAGCTGGGTAGTAACTATGGTTCGACACGATGGTTCGCGGTTCGAATCCTATTTGCCTTAAACCTCAGCCGTCTAGAAGTCGGCAGACTCTAGATATTGTAGCTTTCTAGCGCTTTTAATTATTTTTATACGAGCCGGATATGACCCACGGTCCTTAGTTTGTGTATCACCGATCTAGTACATTGAATTTAGATCGATGTCATACATGGCGATATGTTTCCTAACACTTTCTAGTCTTCATAAGAAAATGAAAGTAGACTATGAAAATGGAGTTTACCCATTTAGCCGACATATTCATTGCTAATATGCTAGGACAAATGTGTACAAATACTCCTTCTTCCCTAGTGCTATTAGAGCATGGAATGGGTTGCCTGAGCTAGCCAGAAAAACCAGTGACTTGGCAGAATTTAAGTCATTGGTTAATATGCATGACTAACTGCATGACGCGTAGGACGTAATTATCTTCTTTTTTGAAGTAACGTCTGTATTACATAAGATAAGATAAGATAAATTTGTTTCGTTCTTTGATATAGATTTTTAACATACATTAAGGTCTCCGCCGTGATAGGAGAAACATTCATTTCAAACCAAATTTTATCAATATTGGTTAAAATGTTTTGATTTCTATCAGTGATACAGCCTACATACATACATACATAAATACTCATTGCAATTGGCTTTGTATATTAGATGTTTACCTATAAATGGTATTGGATTCAGGAAATTGATAGGCCTTATAAATCAAATTTAAAATTGATCGTCTGTTGAATATGAAACATAGAGGTGTAGAAATGATCTCCTCATGACAGAGATCCAAAAGAAAATGCAATGACAAA